TTAGTGTCAAACGTCCAAGCCATGCAAGTCAGGATACAAGCCTCATATGACTTTGGCCTCCACATGAATGTTGTATAGGGTGTTCATACCTTTAATATGAGTACTAGAAGTAATTCATGTGATTTGTAGAACTCAAGTTATGAGCCAGACAAGTTACAGGTCCTCAGATGCATCTGAAATTTGTCTGTGAAAATCATCTGACTTCCAAGCTATTTTTGACCTAGAAGGAAGTTTCATCTGTCCTTTTGGTAAACATGAAAGATGTTCCTCATGATCTTAGCTTTCCAAAATGTATTAGAAGTCTTCCATCTGATTTGTAGAACTCAAGATGTGAGGTTTACAAGTTAGGGGTATTTTGGGAAAGTGAGATTATAGGCCATTTTCAATTATGGGTCAAAATCTCCAACTTGCACATCTCAAATGGAGTTTTGTTTAACATGGAACTTGCTCAAAATATGGTTTTTAGGACAACCAAGAGCTCATGGTGAATTGATTTGGTCCATAGCAAGAGTTGACTTGAAGTGGTTTTGAAAGAAGAGAAATTCAAAGGCATTTTTGGTGGGAAATTCAAATAATTGATTATGGGTCCAAAACAAGTCAAATAAGGGCTCATTTTGATCAGAAATGATGTTTTGAGAAGATTGGCATTTTTAGAATTCCATTTTGAAATTTGGTTCATGGCATTTCATGAGGTTTCTTCACATGTAAGTAACATTCCACCAATCATTCCTAAGGCCAAATTCAGGGCCTAACCAAGCTGGATCCATTCAAGGAGTTTAGTGTATGATACTAGAAGCTTCAGAAGCAAGCTATTGAAGGAAAATTGGACATCACCATTGAAAATTTTTGGAGAAAAGTTGGAATTGGATTTTTGATTTTTGGAGAAAAGTTGGAATTGGAATTGGATTTTTGATTTTTGATTTTTGGAGAAAAGTTGGAATTGGTTGAGTATTGAGGGAGATAGGGTTGTTCAAAGTTTGTCGGAAAAGCTTCGTTCCCGTTGGCCATGGTGCTGTTCGCGCGCGGGTCATTGTGTTTGAATTGGAGAAGATGAAATCCCAGCCATCCATGCATGAGAAGAAGGGAGACTAATTCCACATATCCAACGGTCAGCAAGCGAGCCACGTACCCCCTCCCCCACACGACGTTGTTTCAATTAGTGGGAATGTTACAAGCTTTGCAGCGCGTTGTGTTAACCTGGAGTGCGCGAGTTTGATTCCCTGCGTGGATTCTTTTTGATTATTTGAAACTGAACTGAATGAATTAATGTGTGTTGGGCCTTGGCTTTTGCTACTATTTGTGCCTCCCCTTGCAGGCCCAGCATGAATTAACACGTGAATTATATGCTTAATACACCTCCCTGGACGTTATTGTGAGAATTTTTTTTGCTGAATTGTAATTCAATTGGGCCCAGCACCCTGTGCTTTTCAGACCCCCCATTCTTGGGCCCAGACGCAAATAGACTTGTTTTCCCGGCTAGATGAACCCCTCCCATGTTCTTGTTTATTTTCTTTTCTTTTATTTTTTAGCTTAATTGATTTTGAGAATTTAATTCATAAAAAATAGTGAATGTTGTAAATAAATTCTGGAAAAAATTGTGATTATAGATTTAGATGCTTAGGATTTTATCATGCTTTGCATTTTAATTTTCCATGCATTTTCCATTTTATTTCATATTTTCTTTTTAGTGCACTTTTAATAATGAAATAATGTTGTTCTGAATTTGTTGATTTTCTTTCTCTCTCATATTTTGGAGTTTGATCTTGAGACTTTACATGCTGGTTATATACATGTTATTGGTATTGTGTGATTTTTATCATAATTTTTAGATGATTTTAAATAAGGATTTAGGGTAGTTTCTTAGGAGTATTCATGATTGGATCCCCTTATGTGCCTTTGAGCTTGTAGATTTAGTTTGAACCTTTTGACTTAGGTTGAACCTCTGATTTTTGGACTATTGCATGTTGATACATGTAGGATAGTGTAGTATTTTCCTTAGATTTTTTAGAGTTGATTTTCCATTAGTTCCCCATTTTGCAAGTTGGCTTTAGTATAAGTAAGAGATAACATTTGATGTTCTTTAGAGATTCAAGTAGGTGATGATATTCCTCTAGGATTAATTCCCCTTTCAAATACTCTTTGCTTAATTAGGATCCTTCATTGTGGGTATAATTCCTCCTGTGGAGGAATTCCCTGCCTTTCACATTGGATTTGAGCCTAAGCAATCTCTCTACAGGAAATGAAGGTGATTGAGTGTCTGCGGTAGGTTCCTGTGGAACTTACCTTGCTTCTCATCTCCATTCTCCTAAAATTTCTCTCATTCTTCTTAGGAGCTTCTTGAGGTAGCACAGTCTCTCCTGTGGGGGGAATACAACACACCTCTTGAAGGAGCCAAACCCTTAGGTGTCCCCAAAGATCTTTTTGTTGGTTGAGTGCCTGGGATAAGCTCCTGTGGACCTTACCCTATCCTCCCAACACCCAATTTCCTTCCTTAGGGTAGAGGCTTGCTTGATTTCTTGTTGGATACCTTTCCTTCTCTTGAAGATGGTGGACTTGAAGAATAGCTACAGACTTTGGATTGGATTACTTCCAGAAGATTGCTCTGTTATGGAGATTGTTGGCTTGTTTTCCCTGTCTGTTTTCTTATTGTTTAACTCTATTGATGTGTATTGATGTGACTTGATTGGTGTGTTATATTTAGATTAGGTCATGTAGTTGAATATGCCTAAGAGCATCCTAAGGGTTGAGCTTCTCCCCTTGCTTGTATTGCATTAGAGGTTGAGTTTCTCCCTCTGCTTGTATTTTTACTGTATGGCTTTGCTTGCGGGTATTTGGTAGAGCTCATCTCCCTTGCCTGTGTGATGTGTGGTCTATTTGATTACATTTACTTTCTTCTATTACCTTTGCCGTTATTCATGTCTGGCTTGAGGTTGAGATGAGCTTGTGGAGTCTTCTGCCCCACACATATTTCCTCCCTCACTTGCATTGCATGCATCTTTACAGTAATTTCTTGTACATTTTTACTGTTTGCTTTCATTTGCCATGTTCCCCTAGGAACTCTGACTTCTCTTGTTCAAGAGAAGTTATGACAGACATTAGGATTCTAACCATGCATGATAACATTAGTTAGTTTCCCTTTTAACCACAACCATAGGACAAATATTGCATGATAAACGTAGGATCGAGTCAGTTTCCCTGTAGAGAGTCTGTTTCTCTTCTTATCTCACACAACAGTAAAAAACATAATAAAGGCAAGTTAGTACAAGCGCGTTACGAGCCTTAAGCTACTTGGGAAATGATGATTTAGCGGTTTCCTCTCAATCATCTAGAGTGTTTAGTATATGTCCTTTGGACGATATGCAACGCATTCGCTCCTAAGTCATAGTCTCTAGTGCTGTACAAACTACAGACAACTAAAAAACACTTCTTTCCGTAAAAAACAGAAAACAAAGATCAAATATCTTTTTGTCCTCTTGGACCCTAATCCCTTGAAATCCCTTTTTTGGAAGGAAAATTCTGTTAACTTTCAGTTCTACCGCAAACGGTAATGCCTAAGTCTCCAAGGATCGAGCTGTATACACCAACTGCTGGAACTGTCTGTTAACTTTACTTGGATAAAAAAAACAGTCGAACAAACATGTGTTCTCCGTAGCCCGAACTACGTTTGATCTGATCTTTCACGCTGTGTGAAAGTACGTAGGCACGAGAGGCGATATCTCGGCGAGCAAACTTCCCCCCTTTTTAACCTGTAGTTAGGCGAACTACGTTGACTCTGATTTCTCGTTCCAGACGGGAATACGTAGGCATAAAGTGCGATACTTTGCCGAGTCATTTTCTTTTCTTTTCAAACCAGACCTCTTAGCATAGATAGATTTAACAAACCCGTCAGATAAACACAACAAGCGTGGATCCCATTGAGTATGATGGACGTGAGGGGTGCTAATACCTTCCCCTTGCGTAACCGACTCCCGAATCCAGACAATGGTTGTGATGACCTTGTCTTATACCTTTTCGTCAGGTTTTTCCGATCGTTTTCTTTCCCGTTCTGAGGGATAAATAACGAAAGGTGGCGACTCTTCTGTTTTGCTGGCACCTTATTTTCGTGGTAGCGACAGCACCAACATCATGTTTGTTAGACCATGTGAAGTAGTCTCCTATGAGCATACATCGGAGTAAGACAATGTTTAAAACCACCTATGTTGTCATAGACACCACAATGTATAAATTGACTACTACTCTACACAAACTTCACATCGACTATATTGCTATCCCAATGAATCCAGATCCTTCCATTAGTATGGTCTTTGTAGTTGTCCAAGTAATTATCATAAATTTGAATATTCTCCCGAATTGACTTGGCTTTAGTTTCTTTCACTCTAGTTTCGATCAAGATAATGATAGTATGCCTAAGCTCATGGAGATGGGACCTAATCTCACAAACTTTGCCTACTTTATTGAGTCCTCTTATGTTCCATGAGACTAACATGGATCAATGTTTGTGATCACAAGAGGTTCATTCAAAATCTCAAGTGCCTCAAAACCATTGTTACAATTGATATTACTAGATGATCCAATTAAGATGCTTTTACTTTTATCTCTTATTGGTTTCCACACCGTTGTCCAAGACTCCCCATATTCATCCACTTTTTCCTCTTCTTCAGTTTGCTTTATGGGTGTTGTTACCTTGATTACTTAAGGAGGCTTAGGCTTAGGTCTCCATTTCTGGATCTTTCCTTGATCACCACACTTGTGTCCTAGCTTTTGGCATTTCTCACAAAATATTTCCCTCCATTCATACTCCACAAGTTGCATTATCATACCACATGCACAATTCCTAATGGAAATTTCGTTGACCAGTTGTTGTGTATTATCCACTTCTACCAGAATACACGCATAAGACACGTGTAATTTACTCGCCGTACATTCATCAGTCACAAGGGGGTACCAATTGCACTACCAATTTTGCTGAGGCTTTTTGCTCCCCAAAGGTGGAAAGATAGTTAGGGAAGCTTGATCCAAATTGGTAGTGTTCTTAGTAGGTCTTTCTTCAGATTGAACTCAGGCCTTCGTTCCTTCAAGATCATATGCATATTTCTGATCGTGTATGGCCCTTTCATCATCACCGCATCCCTATCTTCATGGGAGTTGAATCTTAGCAAAAAGTACCCTTCATCATGGTAGTAGAGATCTGGAATCTTCAAGAAATTCCACATTTTCTGCATAAAATTCTTCACAGTGTTCATACTCAAACCCTCACCCACCACGTACAAAACCAAAGCATTATCCCAAAATTGAACCTCAATTTCAATATCTTCTTGTTCAATTTCGATTTCAATCACACCATTCACTAGCTTAGGCGCCACATATTCCATAGTCAATTCTTTTGCAGGTCCCGGTTATTGCTAAGAACATCCATATAAAGTTTTCGTTCCTTCGGCATCGAGAAAGGAAAAAAATAATAATTTATAACCAATCCTTATTGTTCCTTTTGTTTTACCTTGTTTTCTTTGTTAACCTTAATCCTTGTGTGTTTCTTGATCATAAAGAAACCATTTATACTTTGTTTAAAGACATCCGATTACACAACAAATTGGTGTGGTGAGCGTGGAGAAGATGCCTTCAACAAAGTATAAGATTGAAAAGTGAAGGTGATAAAATACTTAGAAGGGGGGGGGGGGGGGGGGGTTGAATAAGGGTTTTCAAAATATTATGGCAATAAAAAACACAAAAAATTTTATCCTGGTTCGTTGAACTCAACTAATCCAGTCCACCCTATCAAGAGTGATTTGCCTTTCTCCACAAGGACTTAATCCACTATAATCAAACGGATTACAATGTCAACCACTAAGAACAATTGTCTTAGTCTTCTCAAGAACTACTGACCACAACTTGGTCTTCTCAAGGAACTTTTACAATCAAATGTAAACTAAACAAGTGTTTAAAATGCTTCTAAGAAAGCTATATCACAACTGTGATTTATACACTTAAGATTAAGAACGTATGAAACTATTCAACAAAGAAATATTATTTGTATGAGAGCTTTTAGAGAGATTCCAATGAATTCATCAAAATACGTCAACTATAGAAAGTTGTTGAAGGCTTGCTTTTATAGACAAAGAAGTTCAAGACGTTGCAAGCTTGAAGACCGTGTACTGCAAAGTAGCTGTAGCCTTTTGTCTTCACATGACTTGACCTCTCCTAGAAGTAGAAAGTTCAGAGAAATCCTTTTTGCCTGAGTTCTTGTGTCTAGCATAAAAGAGGAAAGAGTCGTTTGGAATATGCCAACGGATATATCTTGAATAATCTTCTTCAACTAGCTTCTATCTTAAAGCAATCAACATCAGAACCTTGAGTGATCAGAGTCTTGATGTTATTAGAGTTTATTGTATCAGAGGGTTGCAGCAAGAGTGCTTCAGCGTGAATAACAATTAGAGCAGAGTTTGGAGATCAGATCTTCAGTACTTGCAGCGAACAATACTATCCGAGTCTTCTGAAAAACAGTGCTTGAAACTCTTCATACAAAGTCTTCAGCTACGCTTCAAATGCTTCTGTAACTTCTGCTTCAGATTCTTCTGTAGGAAGCGCTCAGAGTCTTCTAATGATATGCTTCTGAAGCTCAGAGCCTTGCGTAGTTTAATTTTCAGATTCATTTTTACTTTCAGAAGAATATTAAATTTAATATCTACAACAAAAATACTTGAACAAATTTAGAGTATATAATTTCTTAAAACAAAATTTCATTAGTGTTAATATCAAAATATAGAGATATAATTGAGAACCAATCCGTGTTCTAACAAAAATTTCACAGGAGCGAACGACTTCGGTTTGTGGCGCTTGAAGATGAAAGCCCTACTAGTTCAGCGGGGTTATTTGGAAGCGTTGAAGGGAGAGGCATCCATGGACGCTGCGTTAACGGCAAAAGAATAGATGGGCATGATTGAGAAAGCCCACATCACAATATTGTTGAGCCTTGGTGATAAGGTTCTTCGACAGGTATCAAAGGAGACTACAACATCGGGATTATGGGTGAAACTTGAAAGTTTGTACATAACCAAATCTCTGGTGAATCGACTCTACCTAAAGCAAGTTGTGTATTCATTCCAGATGAGTGAAGACAAAGTGTTGGATGAGCAGTTGGATATGTTCAACAAGCTGATTTTTGATCTTGAAAATATTGATGTAAAGATCGATGATGAAGATCAAGCACTGTTGCTGCTGTGTGCTTTGCCCAGAACACATGCTCACTTCAAAGAAACTCTCTTGTATGGAAGGGAGTCCCTGACCTTTAAAGAAGTTCAATCAGCCTTGTATTTTAAGGACTTGAACGAAAGAAAGGAGCATAAACCATCAACGTTGGGCGAAGGTTTGACCGTTAAGGGAAAATTCTTGTGAAAGGATGGTAAGTTCGACAAGAAGAAAGGTAAAAGTCAACAAAAATCTTATAGTGGCGAAACATCTGGTATCCGGTGTTGTCACTGTAAGAAGGAGGGTCACATAAGAAAGGTGTGCCCTGAACACCTGAAAGATCATGGAGGTAATGGAAACACAACCATTGTTCAAGATGACTTTGACTCATCTGATGTTCTTGTGGTTTCAAGTGGCGACTCGAGAAAAGAGTGGCTTATGGATTTTGCACTATCAGAGTACTTGCAGCGAACAATACTATCAAAGTCTTCTGAAAAACAGTGATTGAAACTCTTCATACAAAGTCTTCAGCTACGCTTCAGATGCTTCTGTAACTTCTGCTTCAGATTCTTCTGAAGGCAGCGCTCAGAGTGTTCTAATGATATGCTTCTGACGCTCAGAGCCTTGCGTAGTTCAATGTTCAGATTCATTTTTGCTTTCAGAAGAATATTAAATTTAATATCTGCAACAAAAATACTTGAACAAATTTAGAGTATATAATTTCTTAAAACAAAATTTCATTAGTGTTATCATCAAAACATAGAGATATAACTGAGAACCAATCTGTGTTCTAACAATCTCCCCCTTTTTGATGATGACAAAAACATAGGAAAATTTGTTCAATAAAGAGATAAATATAACTCCCCATGAGATTATGAATCTCCCCCTGAATGGAATACTAAGAAAGAATAGAAACTTCCCTTTTGCATGAGTATTCTTTTTAGAATCAGAGCTTGATTTGGATGTACGTTTCACAATCAGAGCCTGATTGGTTAAAACTTGATTTGGGGATCTCAGAGTTACTTTAATGAATTTTGTCAGATTTATCTTTATGGTTCTGAAAGACTAAAAATTCATGTTAGTTATGATTTGATATGTCTGAATTCCATTCAGGTAAAGTTTATTTGAACGGTCAGAATTTCATTTTCTCCCCCTTTTTGTCATAATCAAAAAGAAACTTTTTAAAGACAAATAAAAGGAAACAGAGAGAAAAGATATAATCATATCCAGAAAACATTCATAGATTCATTCATTCAAATATTCAGATAAGAAAGACATCAGATAAGAGATGCAAACAAGTGCTCAAACATCAGATAAAAAACATAAAAACTAAGATTGTTTGGAGAGAAGCATCTTTAGAAGGTTGGTAATTTCAGATGAAGATTGTTCTTGCTTGGACATCCATTTCTCAATGTTGTCAGTCTTCTGATCTTGCCATGCCATCCAGGATTTTATCTCAGATTGACCAGCTTCCAGCACAACAATCTTGTCTTCTAAGTCTGGATTCTCTTTCTTAACTTCAGAAGAAGTAGAGGGAACAGATTAAGAAGATTGACCAGCTTCCAGCACAACAATCTTGTCTTTTAAGTCTGGATTCTCTTTCTTAACTTCAGAAGAAGTAGAGGGAACAGATTCAGAAGCAGGAGTAGGAGCAGAGTCAATATCCATTGGAGTTGCATATTTTGGAGCCACAAACTCAGATGGTTTGTCCACAATCGTCAGAGCTAAAGGATTTTCTTCTAGAATGACTTCAGAAGCAGATCCTTCAATAGTCTCAGAAGTTGAAGGTGCATCCTCAAGAAGCAATGTTTGAGATCTTTTCACATTCCAAAGCATGGTTCTAGCAATCTCAGCAAATCTGATCTTCGCATCATCAGAGCAAACACTCTTCAGATTTGAAGCAACAATGTTGAATCTGGATATGAAGCTATTCCAAATGGCATCAGATTCATTTGAATTCATGCTTGAGAGGCATCTCTTCTTCATAGAGTCTAAACTCATCCTTATTTCTTTCTTGAAAGTAGCAAATAAAACATCAACATTTAGCCTAGATTTAGGTTTGAGAAGGGCTTCTAGAGTTGATGATTTGGATTGAACTGGTGGGGGTGGTATGGTAAATGTTGGGATAATGAATAGAGGACGAGGATATGGTGGTTTTGATTGAGCATGCATGAGGTGAAAGAATGGTTTTATTCTGCGTATGGATGGAATAATAGTTCTTGGATTATCAAAATATGGAATGAAAGCTGATTGTCTTGGTTTTAAATAGAAGTGTTTGAGTTTGAGTCCAGAGGGAAGGGGATCAGATGGTAAAGGTTTCAAGGATGCAAATGAAACAAAGTCAGATGATCTTGGTTCATAGCCATGAAGAGATGGTGGTGATTTTACTTCTGGATGAACATCAGATTCAGAAGAATCAGATAAGGTAGATGAAGGACAAGATGTGGAAGAAACGTCAAAGAGAGTTTTGAGAGGTTGGATATCCAGAATTTCTGAATCAGGTATGAAAGGTTCAAAGGGTTGGATAGGTTCTGGTTCAGGAATATTTGGTTGAGGAACAGAAGATAAAATTTCTTCTGGTTCTGTTTGTTGGGGTTCTGGTTGTTGTGGAGTTGGTTTTTCTGGTGGTGTTTGATCTTGAGGTTCAGATTGTTTTGGTTCAGAGGTTTTTGGTTGTTCAGATTGTTCAGAAGTTAGTGGTTCATATGATTGTAATGGTGTGGTATTAGATGCAGTTTGTTTAGAAGATGGAGGTGGTTGTATAGATGAATGAGATGGTACAGAAGTGGTTTGAGTTTGAGAAGATGGGGGTTCAGGAACAGAGCTAATTGTTGATGGTTCTATTGCAATTTCAGAAATAATAGGTAAGGATGATTTAATACCTTTTTTCTTGATGCGTTTGATAGGAGCAGAAGGAGCTTCTCCAGAAGCTTTTCTTTTCTTCTTCTTCTAAGGTCCTTCAAAAGTTTTCTGCTTTTTCTGCTGTGTGCCTGCAGCTTCTTCTTTTAACTCCTGTTTTCTCTGCCTCTTATGTTCTTCATAGAGATCTGGCATAGGTTCACGGTTTAGAAATCCTTCTGGAACTGGAAGTCCTTGTTCCATACATGATGCAACAAACTTTATCAGAACTTCCTTTGGTTCTTCTACATAAAACGTTGGAAAATTATCTACCAGAATTCTTCGTTTG